CACATCACTTTATAAGCCTCTCTCATAGGTATCCCATGTGGGAAGTAATGGCTTTATTAAGCTACTTTTATCTAACTTTGCCTACCCCAAGCTACCTTCCTCCAGATGCCCTTGGTCATGCTGCCTAGGAATGTGCAAAACCAATACATCTAGATCAGTGTTTCTCAACCTTGGCAACTTTAAGATGTGTGGACTTCAAATCCCAGAATTCCCCAGCCAGTTGAAGTCCACACATCTTAAAGCTGCCAAGGTTGAGAAATACTGGTCTAGTGGGACTAGTTTGGGAAAGAGGGATCTAACATAAAACAGTGACTGTCTGTCCGTCCCCAATTTTCTTGTTCTCCTAGATTTCAAGAACTATCCTGGAGCTAATCTCCAACCCCATCTTTCATAAGAGAACTCTCATTTACCACAAAAGGAAATAGCGTCAACTTTCTAACCTGTAAAACCTCAAGCTCTAGATGTAGCCATCTTTCTTCTGCCACAGTGATAAGGCTATCCAGGCGACAAATCTCCTCTGAAATTGCGGCACTATGTAGTTTGTGTTCCTCAGCTGCTACCCGGAATGACTTCCACTGGGTCAGCAGCAGCTGCTTCTGTTCATCAAGAAGTTGATAAACTGGTTTAAAGGCTACTGCTGTTTTCTGCATCTCGGCATTTATTGTATTCTGCAATACATTCCAGCAGGGAAACATTTGGTTACTACTCTAAAATGCAGATTGAGGGCAAATTCCCCTCTGCTAGTAATAAATTCAAGAACCTACCAGGGCTTCTTTGCTTCTCGCTGTATTCACTGCCTGAAATTTAAGTAGCTTCTCTTTTTCTTGCTTCAAAGATATCAGTTGGTCTTGGAATTCTTGCTGAATAAAGGAGAAGAATGTTCTGACTTATGATACCTTGTGGCCTCGGATGCCTTCAAAGAGAATTTTTAACAGGCCCCTTATCCTCCCAATGGGGAGCATCTTAATCCAGCTAATTATTCCTTGAGTTCAGTCTTCCAACTAGCACATTTAAGATTAAACCAGGCACTGATGCAATATATCTACATTCTAGACTTAACCACTCTCAATGTCTATCTTTCAAGAATAATAGGGAAACTATAAGCTTGTGAAGCTATAAACCATGAACTTCAACCATGAAGAGTCAACATAAGCCTGTTCTGAACTTCAGCTCCCATAATCCACCGGCCAGCATTGCCAACAGCTGGGAGATTATTACAGTTGAAGACCAATACAACCAGAGGACACCAGACTCTGGGGAAAGCTGGTCTACCTTATTCCCAAACTAGAACCCCCAAGATCATCTGAAGAAACATTTGGCAGCAAAAATGATAATAAACCAATGAGAACCTGCCCTGTTTGCTGCAGTTCACAAGCACAGGCTTTATTTGCTTATTTTGGCTTTCTGAGGAGTGTTTTCATATAGCATTAGACATTTGGCTAATCTTGTAAGCATCCTGTGTGTGAAAAAAACACAGCACTGGGGCCTCTAGTTGGATACAAGAGCAAAGAAAAAGTAAAGAAGAAAAACAAGGTAGAACCCACCCACAGTCCCATGCCCCTTTCTTAGGGCACATCCTCCTGCGGAAGTAGGTCCTGATGCTTGCTTTTTTCTGCCACACGTTGTGGCTTTTGTCTCATCCCCAGCACAGAGCTAAGGCAGTTTAACGTCATCCTCAGCTGTTCCAGCTTCAAAGTAATGTTTGTCCCCTCCTGCCAACAGAGTTTTTGCCATGGATAAATTTCTTCATCAGTGAATCTGAAGAAGCTCACAGCATCTTTTCCAAGCAACAAATTTGGTCAAAAGGGGTAAACTTCCATGAGCTGCAGTTCATTTTATCAGGTGGAGAAGTGGGACTACAACACCACCCCTGAGCGAGAGACTGCTGAACTCAAGAGACATCAAAAGGTTTCAGGATATCTCAGAAGGTCTCAACAAAACCCAAAATGGGTTTTTAACACATTATAATTCTTAATTGATAATTGTAATACATTTCACATGTAACCTGCATCTGCAAAACTAACCAGTCTTCCCCTCCCCCACCTCGCCTTAGTTTAAATCCTAGATCAGTCTAGCCACTCCATGCCTCTGATGAGTGAGTTGCAGCTCCCAAAAGCCTATGCCTTTTAATAAAATGTGTTACCTGGAAAAAGGTGCTACCCTACTCTGATTTTTTGCCACCACAGACTAGCACAACTCTTCTCCTACAATGTTTACATAAGCAAAGTGATTGTGGATGAAATCAGGGGTTGGGATATGCCCACCTTGAGGCTGTGTAGGCATGTTTGAGCATGAAACTGAGCAAACTCAGGGAGGCAGTGAAGGACAGGAAGGCCTGGAGCAATAT